TATGAGGTTCCTTTTCCTGGTTCAGTGGTCCAAGCTGAGAGGGTTGTTGCCATGGCTCTACTCATAAGGGTGACAGACAAGTGGTTGAGTGTTTATTGCAGTGAAAGTGGGCGGAAATGCTATGATGGGCTGTTATCCAAGGGAAAAGAGAAGGCAAGGGAAGGAGCAGTTGAAGCCTGGGGCCTGCATGGTTGAATAAGAAGTAAAAAGAGCCGAGACCGGTTTTGCTCAGTGGATAGAGTGTCGGCCTGCGGAATGAAAGGTCCCGGGTTCGATTCTGGTGAGGGGCACGTACCTTGGTTGCGGGCACATCCCCAGTGGGGAGTGTGCAAGAGGCAGCTGGTCGATGTTTCTCTCTCATCAACATTTCTGGCTCTCTATCCCTCTCAATTCCTCTCTGTGTAAAAATCAATAAAATATATTTTTAAAAGAAGAAGAAGAAGAAGTAAAAAGACAGGCTGTGGGAAATAACCATTGGCTTCCGGGTACTGGTAGTCACCCATTGGGACAAGAGTTAAGTGTTGGTAGTTCTAGGTTAACTGGGGGGTTACAAGCTGATGAGGGAGGTGGCCTATTGATATACTAGCCTGTGACCTTGTAAAGCACAAAGGGGCTGGGTGATAACTGGGGTGTGTAGGGTGATAGGACCTGTGACTGGGTGGAGGAAGGAGCCACCTTAGTAGGAGATAGAATGTAAGAATGGAAAAGGAGGGAGGCTTGATGCCTGGACTGCAGGATAATTACCTAGAAGGGTGTCTGCCTTTCTGAGAAACAGAGTTCCCTTTCCCTTTTTATAAGCAGAGTGGTTTTGCCTGGCTCCATCTCTGGATTGGGGTAGGGATAGTGGTGTTCACTGAAGAGGAGAGGGGAAGGCAGAGCCAGTGGTCCTGGCTTAGGAGGGATGGGCGAGGATGGGTGTTTGTTGGGGATGAGTGGAGGGGGAAAGCTCCTAATGGGAGAGGAGAGGAGGGCTGGGCTGGGCTGGGATGAGAAGGAGAGCTAATCCCCACTTCCAGGCAGGGATGGTCCCAATGGGGGAATGGGGATGTTTAGGCTTTAGGAAGAAGGTAATCTCACCCCATGGGTAAGCGAAGTCCCTTGGAGAAGGGAGTCCCAGAGGAAGGTGAGAGTCCTGGTGTGAAGGGGAAGGGGCAGTCGTAGGACCTGGAGGGTGTGTCCTGGGAGAGGAGCGGGCTTCCAGGGAGGTCTGGGTTGGTAGGGGCAGTACACAGGGGCACGTGCGGGCGCTCACTCATTCGTCCTCTGCCTCTGGGAGGTGGCAAAGTGGGTCTGGTGGGCCCAATCTGGTAGCTGTGATACTTAGGGACTCAGGCTCACGTCGTGGAGTTGTTCTGGGGCGGGTTATAACCTGGAAGGTGGAACCATGGGTGTGCCCCAACAGTGTAGCTGCAGTTGGGGTGGTTAGGAGTACCTGATCAGGGCCTTTCCTTCAGGGCTATGAATTATGGCGGATTTCTTTTAGGAGGAGTAGGGGGTGTTCCTGTAACAGGTCGAAGGAGGACCTGATCAGCATGCTCTTTGGTGATTGTATGACGAGATTTAAGATGGGGACTCAAGTCTCCTGGAGGGGTCCCTGTAGAGGGAAGCTTCCTAATACATGAGTTCACAGGGACTGAGAAGGGAGGGTGCACGGGGGCTGTCCTGATGCGCAGAAGGCCTGGAGGTAGGAGAGCAGTTTCAGGTTCTTTAGTTTTGAGAGTTGGTTTAGTTAGGTGAGACTGAGTTAAGTTCCACTGGATGTTCAGAGTGGAGGAGACTGCTGAGTCATTTGAGATCTGAAAGCAGGTCCATTATCTGATTGTAATGAGGTGGGTCAGACTAGTGGAGGAAGTGGCTTCTGCCCAGCCTGAGAAGTATCTACAAGGGTTAAGAGATATTTGTGTATATGTTTTTTAATAGGGGCATGTGAGTGAAGTCAATTCGCCAGTCTTGTCCAGGGACTTGGCCCCTTGCTGAGGAGTGGGGAAAGAAGGTGCTTGGGGAGATACTGAGTACCAAGTGGAACAGGTTTGGGGATACCTTGCAGTATGGAGGCCTGGCTAGGACAGGTGATGAGGGATATTAGGGGTTGTAGAAGCTGTCTGTACCCTATATGCAGGGAATTGTGAATAGCCTGTAAGATATCATGGGCCTGTCCCTGGGAAAGGATATATGTTCCCAGAAGTTTTAGCCATGGATCTTTCTGAGTGGCCCCAAGAGCTAATGGGAACTGAAGTTCTTCTGGAGTGTATTAGGACATAATATGGGGCTTAGCGAATGGGTCTCTTTGGATGTCAGGGTTGATCAGGCCCTGATTTAGAACTTTCACAAGCATTTCTACCTATTCACAAATAACCAGCTTTGACAAAAGAGTAAACAACCAGCATTTCTTTGATTGACATTTTTCAAAAACTTTGGGGTAAGTCCAGGTCAGGAAGGATTCGGGGTAAGCCCAGGTGGAGTAGGATTCGGGGTAAGCCCAGGTCCAGTAGGATTCGGGGTAAGCCCAGGTGGAGTAGGATTCGGAGGAAGCTCAGGTCCAGTAGGATTCGGGGTAAGCCCAGGTCCAGTAGGATTCGGGGTAAGCCCAGGTGGAGTAGGATTCGGGGTAAGCCCAGGTGGAGTAGGATTCGGAGGAAGCTCAGGTCCAGTAGGATTCGGGGGTAAGCCCATGTCCAGTAGGATTCGGGGGTAAGCCCATGTCCAGTGGGATTTGGGGTAAGCCTACGTCGAGAAGGATTCGGGTTAAGTCCAGGTCAGGAAAGATTCGGGGTAAGCCCAGGTCCAGTAGGATTCAGGGGTAAGCCCAGGTGGAGTAGGATTCGGGGTAAGCCCAGGTCGGGAAGGATTCAGGGTAAGCCCCGGTCGGGAAGGATTCGGGGGTAAGCCCAGGTCCAGTAGGATTTGGGGTAAGCCCAGGTCCAGTAGGATTCGGGGTAAGCCCAGGTCCAGTAGGATTCGGGGTAAGCCCATGTCCAGTAGGATTCGGGGGTAAGCCTATGTCCAGTGGGATTTGGGGTAAGTCTAGGTCGAGAAGGATTCGGGTTAAGTCCAGGTCAGGAAAGATTCGGGGTAAGCCAGGTCCAGTAGGCTTCAGGGGTAAGCCCAGGTGGAGTAGGATTCGGGGTAAGCCCAGGTCGGGAAGGATTCAGGGTAAGCCCCGGTCGGGAAGGATTCGGGGGTAAGCCCAGGTCCAGTAGGATTTGGGGTAAGCCCAGGTCCAGTAGGATTCGGGGTAAGCCCAGGTCCAGTAGGATTCGGGGTAAGCGCAGGTCCAGTAGGATTCGAGGGTAAGCCCAGGTGGAGTAGGATTCGGGGTAAGCCCCGGTTGGGAAGGATTCGGGGGTAAGCCCAGGTCCAGTAGGATTCGGGGTAAGCCCAGGTCCAATAGGATTCGGGATAAGCCCAGGTGAGGAAGGATTTGGGGGAAGCCCAGGTGGAGTAGGATTCAGGGTAAGCCCAGGTCCAATAGGATTCGGGATAAGCCCAGGTCGGGAAGGATTCAGGGGAAGCCCAGGTGAAGTAGGATTCAGGGGAAGCCCAGGTCCAGTAAGATTTGGAGTAAGCCCAGGTCCAGTAGGATTTGGGATAAGCCCAGGTCCAGTAGGATTCGGGATAAGCCCAGGTCCAGTAGGATTTGTGGGAAGCCCAGGTCGGGAAGGATTCAGGGAAAGCCCAGGATGGGAAGGATTTGGGATAAGCCCAGGTCCAGTAGGATTCGGGGGGTAAGCCCAGGTCTAGTAGGATTCAGGGTAAGCCCAGGTCCAGTAGGAATCGGGGGAAGCCCAGGTCCAGTAGGATTTGGGATAAGCCCAGGTCCAGTAGGATTTGGGATAAGCCCAGGTCCAGTAGGATTCGGGTTAAGCCCAGGTCCAGTAGGATTCGGGGTAAGCCCAGGTCCAGTAGGATTCGGGGGAAGCCCAGGTCCAGTAGGATTCAGGGAAGCGCAGGTCGGGAAGGATTCGGGGTAAGCCCCGGTCGGGAAGGATTCGGGGGTAAGCCCAGGTCCAGTAGGATTCGGGGTAAGCCCTGGTCCAGTAGGATTCGGGATAAGCCCAGGTCCAGTAGGATTCGGGGGTAAGCCCAAGTCCAGTAGGATTCGGAGGAAGCCCAGGTCCAGTAGGATTCGGAGGAAGCCCAGGTCCAGTAGGATTCGGGGTAAGCCCATGTCCAGTAGGATTTGGGGTAAGCCCTGGTCCAGTAGGATTCGGGGTAAGCCCAGGTCCAGTAGGATTTGGGGTAAGCCCAGGTCCAGTAGGATTTGGGGTAAGCCCTGGTCCAGTAGGATTCAGGATAAGCCCAGGTCCAGTAAGATTCGGGGTAAGCCCAGGTCCAGTAGGATTTGGAGGAAGCCCAGGTGGAGTAGGATTCGGGGTAAGCCCAGGTGGAGTAGGATTTGGGGTAAGCCCAGGTCCAGTAGGATTTGGAGGAAGCCCAGGTCCAGTAGGATTCGGGGTAAGCCCAGGTCCAGTAGGATTCGTGATAAGCCCATGTCCAGTAGGATTTGGGGGTAAGCCCAGGTCCAGTAGGATTCGCGGTAAGCCCAGGTCCAGTAGGATTCGGGTTAAGCCCTGGTCCAGTAGGATTCGGAGGTAAGCCCAGGTCAAGAAGGATTTGGGTTAAGCCCTGGTCCAGTAGGATTCGGGGGTAAGCCCAGGTCCAGTAGGATTCGGGGTAAGCCCAGGTCCAGTAGGATTTGGGGTAAGCCCAGGTCCAGTAGGATTCGGAGGAAGCCCAGGTCCAGTAGGATTCGGGGTAAGCCCAGGATGGAAAGGATTCGGGGGAAGCCCAGGTCGGGAAGGATTTGGGTTAAGCCCAGGTGGAATAGGATTCGGGGTAAGCCCAGGTTGAGCTGTCACTGCCTACTGCTCTCTGAGTATCAAACTCAGGTGGCTGAAGCTGGGACAATAGTTCCCTAACCCACTGGAAGCTTCCCAGGTTAGGGCACCAAATGTTAGGGTCGCCAAAGAAGGAACACACGAGGCCCAGGGGGTAAAGACTTGTGAATTTAATAGGTCATCTGGATACCAGATGGGCTGAACTCCAAAAGAGCCCCAGCACCCAAAGCTGGGGGAGCAGAGGTGTTTAAGGACTCCAGGCGGACTCTTCTGGGCCGGGAATTCTGGAAACTCCAGAGCAGAGAGAGAATGGTCTCAGCAAGTGGAATGTCCATTGGAAGTGGCCTAACAGTCAGTTCCCAGGGGAGGGGCATCGGTTTAATTACCTGCTCAGGCCAACAGTCACCAAGGCGACAGATCAGGGTGATGTCCTGTGGAGGTCAGGAATAGTACTTCCCAGTAAGCAGGATTGTGGTAGAGAAGGACAGATGACATAATTCTGAGGGTAAACAATTAAGATGTATTTTAATTTCTGAAATAACTTTTTCCTAACTAAAACAATCACTATTTTAACAACTGCAATTTGAGGATAAACTACACTGAAATTTCAAAAATTTATGTTCTCTTGTAAAAAAAAACAAACAAACACAAAACTTAAAAACTTAGATTCAGAGAAGGAAACAAGAGTGTCTTAAAACGTGTCGGTCCAGCCAGCATGGCTCAGTGGTTGAATGTTGATCTATAAACCAGGGGTCACAGTTCCATTCCCACTCACACACAGGCCCAGGTTTCAGGCTCAATCCCCAATAGGTGGCTTGCAGGAGGCAGAGATTAATGATTCTTTCTCATTGTTGATGTTTCTCTCTCCCTTCTCCCTTCCTCTCTGAAATCAATAAAAAATATATTGTTTAAATGTAGGATAAATAAATTGTGGAAAAATCATTCAATATGTATTTAGTATTATTCAATATGTATTGAATGGCATAGCAGTCTGTGTAGTAAAGGAAAAAAATGAACTTGAGCAGCACATAACCAAAGAGATGAATTTCTGGGACATAATGCTAAACAAAAGGAACTTAGGCACAGAAGAATACATACTGTGAGTCCATTTCTATGACATTCAAGAGCAAGCAAAGCTATTCGGTGGTGACAGAAGTCAGAAGGACAGTTATCTTTAGAAGGGAGATTGATACCAGGCAAAGACAGGCCTCTGTGTCCCTGGAAATGTCTACATCTTCCCTCCGACAGTGTCACGTGGACACACACTGATGTGGGAATTCACCAAGCTGCACACTTAAGATTTGTGCATTCTACATCAGTATGTTGTATTTCAATAAAAAAGTAATACAAAATTCTTGTTACAGACTATACATTAAGAGTAACCGGACAACCAAGGGGTCCAGCTGCCTATCACTTGAGCCAATTAAGCTGGGACAGGGTTGAATCGTGTATGAGCGTTTATTCCAATACTGCTGGCAGCATGGGAGAGCAGCAACTCATCCACAAAAATCTGCTCTGCACCCCCCATAAGCCGCTGCTTATACTGGATAGGACAAGAGTATGTGGAGAAGTAGGTATGACAGGCCTGGGAAAGCAAGCACAGGCTAATCAACATGCAAGCAGGCAGAGGGGTGTCCCTGGGCACCCCAGGACCAGATTACAAGTGATAGGGGCTGGGGATTGTAAAGAGCAGAGGTCTGCTATAGCAGATTCATTTGGCTACAATTTTGTAAATCTTTCCATAATGACAGGCAATTCTCAAAAGGAGGATGGACTGCATTCCAATGTGAACTCTCAGCCAGGCTAGAATGTGCTTTCTCTATGCAGAACAGAGCCATCAGGGTTAACAGAGCAAGATTAATGTTTCATATAATTACTAGAAGCCCAGTGCATGAAATTTGTGCACAGGGTCCCCTCGGCCCAGCCTGCACCCTCCCCCTTTTGGGACCTCCTCGGGGCCCCTTCCTCTCTGAAATAAATAAAAATATATTTTTTAATTCTCTTTGAAGAGCAGTGTAGGTAAACGCTGGCATTCGCTGCCTCTCACAATCACATCAAATTCACAACTAAAACACAGAACAGCCATCCTTCAGAAGCGCCTGAAATCTAGCGGAATGGAAGCCTTACAACGAGAAGTGAAGAAGAAAGCACATGGAGACTGGTAGGAGGCACAGTGGCCAAGAACGGGCCTCCAGGGTTTTGCTCAGAGGAACACCTAGTCTGTGGAGGCCTTCCATGAGAAGCAGGGGTCCCCGCTCCACGCCAGACCCTTCCACCCAGGGTCCCAGTGCTGGGAAGAGAAACTCCCATAACTTTGGGCTATAAAAACCGGCAGAAACTGTGGCTGAATGACACAGAGATTACTAGAGTCCTAGGTAGTTCCTCTTAAAGGGCCAGCACACAGACTCACTACTTCTGAGCTCCAGGGCTGGGGCAGCAGCTTATGGGGATTCCAGGACATTCAGGGAAAACCGGAGTGTCTGGCACCAGGGCAAGAACTCAGGGGTGGCTTTCTCCCAGACAAAAGTGCTCACAGAGGTCATTTTTCCTATGCTGAGGCCTCTCTCTTCTCAGAGCTGACTGACAGGGCCATATCTGAGTTTCCATCAGCCTGGCTCACACTGTTTGCTCTGCCCTGATGAGATCCCTTCCCTTCAAATTTGCAGCCCCACCCAATCTGTTTGCAGTGGCTTTTCTATATGAATGTCCTGTCCTGGCTCAGGTTTCAGACTTCCTAAAATCTCTCAAATGAGCATCCGCTGGCATCACTATGTCCCATTCCTCTCAATAAATGGTCCCAGTCCTGGCACTATCAGCAGCCTGCCTTGTTTCACAGCTTGGCCTCTCCTGGGCACTTCTATGCACAACACAAGTGGCAGCCATCTGCAGATCATTCTGTAGGTCCTGATGGGTGGCTCCAAGCAAGGCACAAGCAGTGGCTGACTTTGCCTCTCCAGGGGAGACCCAGAGCCAGTGCACCTGAAGGACAGCTTCAGACTGCCAACCGAAACCTAACATTGTCACTGGTGATAAAATGTAAAAAGAGCTAGCCAGGCTTGAGGGCTCTGAATGGTCAGAGCTATTAACTCATTGACTCTAAGTTGAGTCACTGGTAGTAAATTATAGAAAGAGCTAGCCAACCTTGAGGGCTCTGAATGGTCAGAGCTATTAACTCATTGTCTAGTTGAGATAGTGGTGGTTGAGGCAACTTTAATTTGTTAATCATATGTAAATGTAAGTTGATTTTCTGTTGTTGGAACTTCCTGCCTAAGAGATGTCTTTGTTTCAGAATCTCAATAAAAGGAATGGTAAAAGGCCAGAGAAGGGTTAGTCTTCCCACTAGAGGTGGACTTCCCACCTGGACCCCATTCTCCCAAATTAACTCTTTTCCAGTCTCTCTCTTCATTTTAGTGTGCGGCCTTCTCCAGAAACCGGACCCTGAGTGGGCCCTGAACCGCGCAGGTCGTGTTAAGGGATCCCACATCAGACCATACCAGATTATACTCTACACATCCATACTTGCCACATTCAAGGGGCAGACTCAGTGAGCACCAAGGCCCCAATGAAGCAAATCCTGATCCATAGGCTGTCTCCTGCACAGTTGCTCTTTCCCCGTAGTCACAGCTGATCTTCACAGCCAGCTGGCCTCAAGGTCAATTCCTCTCAGAGATGCTAACAGCAATCAAGGCTCAACTACAAGACAGTGCACACAGCCCACACAGGGACACACCTAGAGTGTCCAGCCCAGGTGCCTGGGGAGGCTGAGTCACTGGGCCCTACAGGACACCTACTACATAAGGCCACTCTGCCAATTCCAGGAGACATAGCAACTCTACCCAATACATAGAAACAAACACAGGGAAACAGCTAAAATGCAGAGACAAAGAAACGTCACAAATGAAAGAACATAAGAAGTCTTCTGTAAAAGAAATAAGTGAAATGGAAGCAAGCAAACTACTAGATACACAGTTAAAACAATGTTTATAAGATTGCTCGAGAATCTTAATGAGAGCTTTAAGGGACTTAGTGAGAATTTCAAGAACCTTAGTAAAAACATCAAATACATTAAAAAAAAAAAAAAGAGAGAGCTGTCAGAAATTAAGAATAATTTACAGGAAGCAAAAACCCAGACAGAAGAGCAGGAAGAAAAAAGAACCCAAAAATATGAAGATTGTGTAAGAAGCCTCTGGGGCAACCTCAAGCATACCAACATTTGTATCATGGGGTACCAGAAGAAGAGAGAGAGCAAAATATTGAAAACCTGCCCTAGCCAGGTTTGCTCAGTGGATAAGGCGTGTGGACCAAAGGGTCCCAGGTTCAAGTCCAGTAAAAGGCACATACCTTGGTTTCAGGTTCCTCCCCCGGTTGGGGTTCATGCAGGAGGCAACCAATCAATGTGTTTCTCTCACATTAATTTTTGCTCTATATTTCCCTCTCTCTACCACTCTCCCTAAAAATAAATAGAAAAATATACTCAGGTGAGAATTAAAAACAAAAACAAAAATGAAATATAGTGGCAACCATACTTTGGTAAAAACTGCTGTTTGAATTTTAACCCTGCTAAGTCTGGCTCTTGCATCTGATTAAAACACTGGGTACTTACCTCAGCTTCCAGGTGGAGACCTGGAGGCTAAGGCAATTTTCCTTTGCCTGGAACCAGGACCACAGGAGATTGATTCCCACTGACTCAGTAGCTTCAGGGATAGAAACTGTAGATAACCTTTAGAGTCTAACCGCTGAGCTCTGCAAGATAGGGCCACATTCCAATGTCCAGCAGGATGTGACTGGGAACCAACCCTGCGGGTTGTCCCCAGTCTTTAGAATTTATAATAGTCTTTAGGATTTTAGGAACAAAAGGAAAATTCTTGTGGTTTAAACCTTTAAAAGGAATTGCCTACCCCTGAAACGGTGCAGTCATTTGGAGTCCACCTGCATGCGGTGCTCTTGTGGCTGTCCTGGCCAGGCAATAAATCCTTGCCTGCTTTTTTTAATTAATTAATCAGCCTCCGGTGGTCTTATTTTGAACCCAGGGTTCGACCCCACAACAAAAAAAAAGATATTGAAAACCTATTTGAAGAAATAATGACAGGAAACTTCCCCTACCTAGTGAAAGAAATGGACTTCCAAATCCAGGAAGTGCAAGAGGAACTCAAAGAGGCCCACACTAAGACACATCATAATTAAAATGCCAAGGGCTAAAGACAAAGAGAGAATCATAAAATCAGCAAGAGAAAAGCAATTAGTTACCTACAAGGGAGCACCTATAGGACTGTCAGCTGATTTCTCAACAGAAACTTTGCAGAGAGAAAGAGGAGGGGGCCGAGACCGGTTTGGCTCAATGGATAGAGCGTCGGCTTGGGGACTGAAGGGACCCCGGTTCGATTCCGGTCAAGGGCATGTACCTTGGTTGCGGGCATATCTCCAGCAGCTGATCGATGACTCTCTCTCATCGATGTTTCTAGCTCTCTATCTCTCTCCCTTCCTCTCTGTACAAAATCAATAAAATATATTTAAAAAAAAAAAGAAAGAAAGAAAGAAAGAGGAGGGGGATGGGGAGGAGAGTAAGAAGTGCAGGGGAGGGGGTAGGAAGGGGAATGGTCCTGGGCCAGGAAGCAGGAAAAGAAAAAAGAAGAAAAATATTTTTTAAATATGAACAATAAAATGGCAATAAATACATAGATATCAACAATTGAATCAAAAAATTAAAATAAACAACAAGGAATCTAATGAGCAAAATAAACTGATGAATAAAATAGAACCATAGGCATGGAAACATGAAACAGATTGATAAATCTCATTTGGGAAAGGGTGCACACAGGAAGAGATTAACTAAAGAACTTATGTGCGTACCTGACGCCCAGTGCACGTATTTGTGCACATTGAAAGGAAATTAATTAGAAGGTGGCTGTCAGGGCGAGAATGGGCAAGATGGGCTGCACACATCCTGGAGCACTGGACCTCGAAGGGAGTCTGCGGATATCTCCAGCAGGTGGGGTCCCTCAGCCCAGCCCCTGGGGACTGGGCCAAAACCAGCAGGCTGACATCCCCTAAGAGGTCCTGGAGTCTATGAGGACACTGCAAAGTTGCTGTCGCGCTCTAACCAGTTTGGCTCAGTGGATAGCGAGTCGGCCTGTGGACTGAGGGATAGTAGGTTCGATTCTAGTCAAGGGCATGTGTGCTGGGCCAGATCAGCCAAGGGTTCAATGAGCCTGAGGGAGGGCCGGAGAAGGATGAAGAAAAGACAAAAAGAATAAGATGGGTCTAGGTGGATCTCCTGTGCCTGGCTAAGGCCACAGCAAGATATCCAGACGGTAAGCTGAGCCTTTATTTTATAACTAGAAGTAAACAAGGTAGTGGTCACCATAGTTACAATGTTCTTCTGAGTTTCACTTGTTTTGGCAGCACTTGCTGCACCTCCCACAGCCCATTCGCTACCCAGGAAGGATCTATGGGAGGTCATAAGGTCAAGCTAAATTATGCTAAGAGGGCTGTGCCCTCTAAGCTGGGACTTGTTTTTGTGGCTTTGCCAGCAAGTCAGTTCTAGGCTTAACCCATAGCTGCTCCCTTCAGGCATGTACCTTTGTTGCAGGCACATCCTCAGTAAGGGGTGTGCAGGAGGCAGCTGATCGGTGTTTCTCTCTCATTTATGTTTCTAACTCTCTTTCCCTCTCCCTTCCTCTCTGTAAAAAATCAAGAAAATAAATATATATTTTAAAAGTTGCTGTTGCACCAAAACCGGTTTGGCTCAGTGGTAGAGCGTCGGTCTGTGGACTGAAAGGTCCCAGGTTCGATTCCAGTCAAGGGCATGTACATTCGTTGCGGGCACATCCCCGGTAGGGGGTGTGCAAGAGGCAGCTGGTCAATGACTCTCTCTCATCGATGTTTCTAGCTCTGTACAAAATCAATAAAATATATTTTTAAAAAATTTGAACTGCCTTCTTACATCTTACACGAAACAGCTATTGCCCTTAAAACCCCTCCTCAGTCCCCACCTTAGGTTCTGCCTTCGCACTTCACCCAGATTAGGTTCTGATTGGCCGGTTTCTATGCCAGTCTGCGTCAAAAGCTCCACCTCCTAGGCAGCAGTTGTCTCCTCACACTTCACCTAGATTTGGTTCTGATTGGTTGGTTTCTATGCTAGTCAGCATTTCCAGGCCTATCAACAGGCCTGATCTGAGAAGTGGGGCTGATCAGCAGCCCCAGTGGAGTCCCAAGAGAAAGAGAGGTACAGCTGCCGGCCAGGCCCTGAGAGAAAGAGAGAGGCAAGTGCTGATCAACTGCTGCCACGGAGGCTATGGATCAGACCCTGCCTCTCTCTTAGGGCCTCTCTTTGGGTCTGATCCACAAGCCCCCTCAGCAGTCAGTGCTGGGTCACTGCACCCACAGTGGCAGGCAGTCAGTACTGGGTCACCATGGCAACCCAGCACTGACTTCTAGTTGGTCGAGCTTTCAGTTGTTTTGGATGTTACTACCCTGGGTTTTTATATATTAGGATAGACTAGAGGCCTGGTGCACTAAATTCATGCATGGGTGGAGGTACCTAGGCCTGGCCATCAATCAGGGCCTATAAAGGCTGTCTCACCCAGTCCTGATTGGGCTTCAGGCTGCTGGACAGGTCTGAAGGGACAGGGCAGGGATCGCAGGAGGTTTGCTGGCTGGAGGTAAGGACTAGAGGAGGTGGGCTGGCCATGGGAGGTTGGCTGTAGGAGTGCACTGACCACCAGGGGGTAGCCCCTGCGCTGACCATCTGCCTCCTGTTAGTCAGTGCACACCATAGTGACCAATTGTTCCAGTCACTCAGGCTTTTATATATATAGACTAGAGGACTGGTACACAAAATCCATGCAAGAGTAGGCCTTCCTTCTCCTGGCTGCCAGCACCGGCTTCCTCTGTCACCCAGGATCCGGACTTGTTTCCCTCCAGCTCCAGCTTCATCTGGAAGGATGTCCAGAATGACATCCGGAAGGATGTCTGGCCTAATTCACATATTTCCCTTTTATTATTATAAGTAGGCATTAGGATGGACACAATAAGATGGTGAAAGCCTAGGGCGTGCAGGAACCAGGTTGAGGGTGATGCTGGGGGAAAAGGGGACATCTGTAAGGGACATCAACAATAAAGACTAAAATAAATAAATAAACAAACAACTAAATGTTCTCCTATAAAAAAATAAAAAATCTCGTCTTTGCTTTTTGGTATTAAACAACAGTAGCAGCATTTAGGTCCTACTTCTCAGTGAAATGCCTTTTTGATAGCAAAAAACAAGGTTTCTTTTTGTTTTAATTTGGTAATGTTTCAAGTCCAATTTAGTTCCATCACTTACCTCCCCACGGCTGGACAGGCAGGGAGCAATAATCCCGTCTGTGGGCAATACAGTACCGCCCTGGGAGCAGCAGCATAAGGCCCTCTTTCAGATGCATGTTTTAACACTGTCAGTGGAAAGACCTTCGTTATGTAAAATTTATTCTGATTATTGTAAGTCAGATCTGATCTTATTCAGAAGCAAACCCGTAAATTGACCTCTGGCTATTGCCTCCCACATTTCTGGCTCCAGGCCAGGGTTGGAGAACCTTTTTTTCTGTCATTTGGATAGTTATAACATCATTCTTGGGCCACACAAAATTATCACCTTAAAAATTAGCCTGCTGTATTTGGCCAAACATTTAATTAACTCACCCCTAATGCCTTGGCAGCGCCAGACCAAATGATTTCTCGGGTCTTATACAGCCAGTGGACCTGCTGTTCCCCACCCGTTCCAAGGCAGACGAACATCTAATTTGTGTATTTCAGGCAGACCAGGGTAAGAATCTGGCAAATGTGACCTTGACAGCAGATAGTGTGTCAAGACTGAGAGGAGCCAAAACCGGTTTGGCTCAGTGGATAGAGCATCGGTCTTCGGACTGAAAGGTCCCAGGTTCGATTTCGGCATGTATGTTGGTTGCAGGCACATCCCTGGTAGGGGGTGTGCAAGAGGCAGCTGGTCGATGTTTCACTCTCATCGAGGTTTCTAGCTCTCTATCCCTCTCTTCTCCTCTCTGTAAAAAAATCAATAAAAATAAAATAAAATAAAAAGACTGAGGAATTATGAAGTTATAGAAATCCCCTTTCAAAAAGTTACCTGTTGTACAAAGCACTTCATTCTCTTCCTTTCCCTCTTGTCCTTTGCCAGGTTCTCTTTGAGAGTCCTCGGTTCAAGAGGCACCCCAAACATTCCATTTCCTGTTTGTTTTGCCTACATGCAATAATGCTAAAAGTCTGTAGTAGTAGATCTTATCCTACTTGAGTACATTTTATTTTTTATTTTTTTAATCCTCACCTGATAACATTGATTCTAAGAGGAAGAGAAACATGGATGTGAGAAACATTAATGGGTCACCTCATATGCACCCGCTGCTGGGGATCAATCCAGCATCACAGGCATGTGGCCTGGCGAGAAACTGAACTGGAGACCTTCCCCATGTACAGGAGGATGCTCTAACACTGCGAACACCAGCCAGGGCCATTTTGCATTTTATACTAGAGGCCTGGTGCACAAAATCTGTACACTCAGGGTGGCGGGGGGGGGGCTCAGCCTGGATTGTGAGAGGGTGTAGGCCAGGCTAAGGGACCCTATAGTTGCACTATTGGGGCCGGGGAGGGACACAGGAGGCTGGCCAACCAGGGAGGGACCTGGGAGCGCTCCAGGGCGTGACAGCCCACCTCACTCAGCCCCAATCAGACAAACACCAGCAGCAAGCTAACCTACCAGTTGGAGTGTCTGCCCCCTGGTGGTCAGTGCACATCATGGCAAGCGGTTAAGGGGCCTTGGTATATCATTAGCATATCATGTTTTGATTGGTTGAACAGACGATTGCATGACCAAACACTTTCATGTTGGGCTTTTATTATACAGGATACTTTTCTTGGCTCCCTGGGAACAAACACGTTAAGAATTCCTTCGTGCATGAACAGAACAGCAAGACATGGCAGTCTATACTAGCATGTGAGATTGAGTCTGTGTTGCTAACAAGATTGCCATGCTTTGCCCTGGCCCTGTTGGTTGGAGCATCTCCTCTGGTGCATCAGAAGGTCCCATTGTATTCCAGGATTCCTGGTGAGGGCACATGCCTAGGTTGCAGGTTCAATCCCTTTCAGGAAGCAACTGATCAATGTTCCTCACATCCAAGTTTTTGTCTTCCTTCCTTCCTCTCTCTCTTAAAAAAAAAAAAAATCAACATTCTCAGGAGAGAATTAATAAATATATAAACAACAGGGTGTGTCCGTGTTGCAGAGCCTATATAATATGGGTAGGTTGAGGGAGCAGGGCGAAACTAGGACTTTCAGTGAACTCTGTGATTAAAAATAGAACCAACGCCGAAACCAGTTTGGCTCAGTGGATAGAGCATCCGCCTGCGGACTCAAGGGTCAGGGGTTCGATTCCGGTCAAGGGCATGTACCTTGGTTGCCAGCGCATCCCCGGGGGTGTGCAAGAGGCAGCTGATCGATGTTTCCCTCCCATCAATGTTTCTAACTCTCTATCCCTCTCTCTTCCTCTCTATAAAAAAATCAATAAAAAATATATATATTTTTAAATATATTTTATTGATTTTGTACAGAAAGAAAGGGAGAGAGACAGAGTTAGAAACATCGATGAGGGAGAGTCATCGATCAGCTGCCTCTTGCACACCCCCACCGGGGATATGCCCTCAACCAAGGTACATGCCCTTGACCGGAATCGAACCCAGGACCCCTCAGTCCCCAAGCCGACGCTCTATCCACTGAGCCAAACCGGTTTCGGCTCAATAAAATATATTTAACAAATAAATAAATAAAAATAAAATAAAATAAATAAAAACAGAACCAAGAGGTCGCTGTTTGAAGGGCACACGCTTCAGCAGCGGGCTCATCCCGTGTGGGGAGTGCAGGAGGCAGACAATCATTATTTGCTCTCATTGATGTTTGTCTCTTTCTCTGAAATCAACAGAAATCTGTTTTAAAAAAAATAGAAACGCGGTCATCAATTCAAATCCAATAGCAAGTAGGTGAACTTAAAATAACTTACTCCTAACTTCAATAAGATGTTTTTTGGCGCTGATGTTTATGGAATAGCTCTGTACTGTGGCTAACACCGCCGCAGCCTTGGTCTGGGGCCGCGAGAGGTGTGGAGACTCCGGACAGGACCCAGGCTGGTGCAGCTGGCCCTCCGGCCCGCGAGTCGGCCAAACTGAACGCTGGCCAGAGCTGCCCTTCCCGCTGGCTGGGCTGCTCGTCAGGCCACGGCCGAGTCAGGGCGGCGGCGGGGCCGGTGCTCAGAGCGGAGGCCCGGCTGGAGGCTCGCGGGGCGCGGCGAGGTTGGACTACAAGTCCCGGCGCGCCCAGCGCTCGCGGGGTCGGCCCGGCATGCACCGCGCCTGCCGCCGACGCGGCCCGAGCGGCCTCCGCAGGGCGTGCGGCGCCGCCGGCCCGCCTTCCTGGGCTCCTCGCCGCGGGTCCCTCTCGCTTCCCACCGCCCGACAGCGGACCCTGCAAAGCCGCCTCTCCACCAACGCCAGCCAATACCGCGCGCCGGCGGGGCCACGTGACGGCGCCGGAGGGGCCGGGCGGCGCTCGCGGCCCCTGGAGAGCCCCTCGGCGCTCCCGTCACCCTGCCCCGGTGGCTGCCGGGATACGGGCGGCTCGGGCCGGTCCCGCTCAGACCTCCAGCCGCGGGGCGTCCAGTTCCGCCGCCGGCGCGTCTCCCGCCCGTCCGCCGCCCGCGGGCCGCTCCTCCGGGCCCCAGGCGCATGGCTCCATGAGGCAGGCCAAGGCGGCGCGCGAGAGGTCCCGCCCGCCCCGGCTGCGCCTGGCCCGGGAGAGAAGGTGGGACTCGGCGGCGCCCCCGCCGCTGGCCTCCTCCGGGGTCGCGGCGAGGCCCGGCCAGGGCGGGGGAGGCGGGGGCTGAGGCCGCGTGTCCCGCGAGGGCGGCGGCGGAGGCCGGCTGGGCGAGGCGGGCCCCGCTCCGTCCCGCGCGGCCTCCGGAAACAGTTTCGGGTCCGGGTAAAGTTGGGGGTCTCGGGCCTCCGGCGGCCCCTCCCTGCCCCCGCCTCCTCCTCCTCGTTCTGCCAGGGGCTTCCCCGTCCGCGGTCGGCCCCTCGGCCCCACCCGTCGCCGTGCGGTCTTCCCGGCCCCGGCTCCCTCCCGCGGCCCCTCCCCGGCCTGGGCCCCGCGGCCCCTGCGCCCCTCGGGCTCGCGCGCTCGCGCCGCCCTCCGCACGCTCCGCTCCGCTTCCTGGGTGCTGGTGTGGCCAGCCCCCGGTCCCCTGCCTCCCGGCGCCGTCCCTGCGCCTGCCGCCTCCCCGCTGTCTGCCTCCTGCCGGCGTGGCTTTGCCCTTCATCCCCTGCCCTTCTCGGGGCCGTGTCCCGACCTGAACTCGCCCCGCGCTCCACCCCATCACCGCGCTCCACCCCATCACCGCGGGCCTCTAGGCTTTCACTGCCCTCTGCTCGGCGAGTAGGTGGGGCCTGGAGTCTCCTGTTGACAAGTTTGGGAAGAGCTGTTCTCTGCTCTTAGGGGTGGGAGAGTTGGTGAGATGGATGGAGACTGAGATTGATGGGCCTGTCGGAGTAAGGATGGATGGCTCTTAGCCTCAGGCGTGCTCCGCTGCTGCACGAGGGCCTGTCCTCGGACCCTGGCCTGCTGTCCAGTAGCCAGCACCATCTCTGCAGCAGAGGATTTGGGAATATGTTGGTATTCTGAAACCGGTGGAGAGCCTTGGAACGCTATATCTCGGCCTGAGAGCAGGTTTTGTTATAAATTAGTGGTGGAGAAAGTTTCATGTGGGCCTCATGTTCAGGTTCAGTAAAACCTCTGACTCTCAGCGGCCTCTCTGTGATGCCGAGGAGGAGGTGAACCATGCCTGGGACGGCCATTGCCGCCCGAGGTTTGGGTTTGAGATGTTTGAAGTTCGGAGAGCCAGCCTGTTCCTTAGCTGTTTGTGTTTTTAGAAGTTGCTCTGTTGAATTGTAGTTTTTCAGAACCCGTCTCTTTCATCTACACTACCTTGATTTTGTTCATTCACTGCACCTGCATTCCATCTTAGGTACAGGAAGAAAGAATGGAAACGGAAGGAAGAAAATTCATTTCAGAGACAAAATAGCTCCCCTCCTCTGTTATAGCTGTTTCTCCTGGCAAGACAAACTTCCTGCTTCAGTGAGTATTACTTTGGATATTTAGAATGTAAGTTCATTGTTTTAGGCCTGTGTTAGGACTTGCGGGTATAGATTTTACTTTGTTGTTTTTTTTAATATATTTTATTGATTTTATACAGAGAGGAAGGGAGAGAGATAGAGAGTTAGAAACATCGATGAGAGAGAGTCATCGATCAGCTGCCTCTTGCACACCCCCCCTGGGGATATGCCCGCAACCAAGGTACATGCCCTTGACCGGAATCGAATCCAGGACCCTTCAGTCCCCAAGCCAACGCTCTATCCATTGAGCCAAACCGGTCCCAGCTAGATTTTACTTTGTTTACTTGATTTTTCTACTTCCATGTGGGGGAGGGGGGGTGTCTTACTGTTGATAAAGTTCTTTCCACTTGCTCTTTTTAAAAATAATTTAAATATGTAAAGACAAGTTTATTGCTCATAATTCCAGTGGATTGACCTAGGTGGAGTATACGTAGCATTACACTTACCCTCTTTGTCTGAATATGTAAGCTGGCTCTGTCCCTTCACAAATTACCCTTTAAAAAAAACACCACAAAAACAAAGAGCATAACTCGTTCAGTTCCTATCAAGGTCAGTTACTGGGTCTCTTCCATACAGTTATAGTGTTCAGAGATATTAGGAACAGTTTGCCCTAAATTGGTGATGCTATTATCTTGAAAATAATTAAAATTCTATTAATTCGATACATGAAAACAAAGTTCTGGGAAAAAATTATTATTGATTTTTAGAGGAGTGGGGAGAGAGAAACATTGATTGGTTGCCTCCTGTACTCGCCCTGATCAGGAGTCGAACCTGCAGCTTTTTGGTGCATGAGTCAACACTCCCAACGAAGTGAGCCATCCAGCCAGGGCTTCCTTTGAGGGTTTGTTTTTTTGTTTTTTTTATATATATATATTTTTTATTGATTTCAGAGAGGAAGGGAGAGGGAATGAGAGATAGAAACATCAGTGATGAGAGAGAATCATTGATTAGCTGCCTTCTGCATGCCCACACTGGGGATTGAGTCCACAACCTAGGCACCTGCCCTGACCTGAAATTGAACCATGACCTCCTGGTTCATAGGTCGACACTACACTACTGAGCCACACCAGCTGGGCCCTTTGAGTTTATTAATAACTAGAGGCCGGTGCACGGGGTCCCTCCGCCCAGCCTGCACCCTCTACAACCCAGGAGCTCTCAGGGGATGTCCTACTGCTGGCTCAGGCCCACTCCCCATGGTTCTCTGCTCTCTGTGGGCCTGGAGGTTTCACTGTAACCATGGAGATGAAGCCCCCAAGCCCTGCTGCCCCGGCTCTGCCTGCGGGGCCTGGGGCTTCCCTGCTGTAGCGCTAAGGGAGCCCCCACGCCCTGCTGTCTGGGCTCCATTTGCCAGGTCTGAGGGCAGATCCAGACCCCAGTGGGGCTGATAGGCCCAGACATTGCAGCAGCGTGGAGCAGGGAAGAAGCAGATCCAGCCTCGCTGCTCCAGAGACAGGCTGGACACTCCAGCAGCGGGGCTGAGGGGACTGTGTACAGCCATCCTGTGGCTATGGGGGCCGCCATTTTGTTGTGGAGTGATGGTTAATTTGCATATTACTCTAATATTAGATAAGATTAAGTAGGATGGTATGCAAACACTTCAGGTTTTTTTTTTTCAGAGTGCTTTGCTTTTTTCTTTTTGGTTAATTTTCACCTGAGGGTATTTTTCCATTGATTTTCAGAGAGAGTGAAAGGGAGGGGGAGAGAGACACAGAGAGAAACATCAATGTGAGTATCAATAACTCACATGAATTATATGCTCCTGCACGCACCCTACCAGGGCCAGGATTGAGCCTATAACCATAGTATGTGCCCTTGACTGGAATCAAACCCGGTACCCTTCAGTCTGCAGACTGAGGCTCTATCCACTGAGCCAAACCAGCGAGGGCATAGTTTATATCTATTGGAGCCTCACAAACCGTTTCTCTGTAAGGGAGGCAGGAACAAATACTTCGTTTTACAAATGAAAAAACTGAAGCCCAGCCCTCACTGGTTTGGTCAGAGGATAGAGCATCAGCCTGCGGACTGAAGGATCCCAGGCACAGGCCTGGGTGCGGGCTCGAACCCCAGTGTGGGGTGTGCAGGAGGCAGCCAATCAATGATTCTCATCATTGATGTCTCTCCCTCTCTCTCTCTCTTTCTCTCCCTCTCTCTCCCTTCCTCTCTGAAATCAATGAAAACATTTTTTTTTTTTTTTTTTTAAATAGAAAGAACTGAAGCCCAGAAAGATCTGGCAGGTAGTAATGTGAAGGAATCTAAAAACAAAGTAGAACTTTTGATCCTGTATTTGTGTGTGTTTTTAAGTTAACATGAAAATGTATAGTTCTGTAACTTAAGAAACTTTTAATTATATAGGTAAATCTATATTTTGCAGGGAAATTTTTCACACAGCAAGTATTTTGGGTATGATGGGATTTCAAAAATATGGAAATGATTGTTTGAAATTATTACCAGAATGTTTGTGGGTTTTCCATTTGACTATTGTTTGGAATAGTTCCATAAGTCATCCAGAATTATATCTCAGGTGCCATCTCACTACTCATGTGATGCAGTTTTATTTAACTCTCTGACACACAAAGGAAAATTCTGTTCCCTTCTGTATTAAAGCTTGATTTGAATGTACACTAATAAGAGAAAAATATTCAGAGACCTCATTTTTCTTGGCCTCTTTGCTACTCCTACTACAAACCTTTCCTGCAGTATGGTGGTGCCTCCAGTTAACTGTTTGAACCTGGTGTGTATTTTCTCACCTCCAGACTTGTCTAGATACTTCAATCCGATTATTTTGCAGTCTAACTTTGATGGAGTCCTCTCAGTGCTCAATATATATCAAGACTTCTATAATAATAGCATATCTAGCAAGTTTAGTTTCTTTGTAGTATAAACTTAGAGGAGCCAGACAGAGGAAAACTGTGTGCCACTCTCTAGCCCACAGTTGTTCTCTGTGTGGCCTGGCACTTGGTGACAAGGACGGCGGGTGGTTTACTAGAAGTGCTCTCCCAGGAGGCAAGCCTTACAGTCATCAGAGTAATAATCACATGTTAATATCACAATCTTTTAAACTACAAGGCGGTTCTTTTGTTCTTTTTTTTTTTTTTTAATATATTTTATTGATTTTTATACAGAGAGGAAGGGAGAGAGATAGAGAGTTAGAAACATCTATGAGAGAGAGTCATTGATCAGCTGCCTCTTGCACACACCCCCTGGGGATATGCCCGCAACCAAGGTACATGCCCTTGACCGGAATCGAACCCGGGACCCTTCAGTCCCCAAGCCGACGCTCTGTCCATTGAGCCAAACCGGTCCCGGCTGTTATTCTTTATTGTTTAAAGTATTACATGAATCTCCTTTTTTCCCCGTTGACTTCTCCTTATTTCTGTAGAAATGGTAAGGATTCAGAGCTATGTTGTTTTGGAACTGAAAACTACCAGTATCTCTATTTCATTATTTTATTAATAGAGACACTGGTAGTATTGGTTATAGCAGGTACTTTAATAAATAATAACTATAAGTTAAAGAACTGCTAAATACTCTTAATGTTTTGCTCATTGACTACTCACAGGTAACTCTGTGGGTAGCAGGAGCCTAAGGCCACACAGATGTGGCAGCCTGCCTGAGTACATAGCCAGTATGTGGCAAATCATAGTTGGGATTTGAGCCAGACTGTAACCCCACAGCCTAGGTTCTGTACTCTGAAGATGGAAACTGTCTGGGAGCGTCAGCTTGCCGTTTGCAGTGATTTAAGATATTGGGAGAGGAAGGCCACTTCAGTCAGGGTGTCCTCCCTCCAGGACTGATCTTTATACCTTGTTTGTAAACATCAGCAATTTATAAGACAACATTTGTATTAACTCCTGAAATGATAAATTGCCCTTCAGGCAAATAAAAGTGCCCATCAATTCAAAAAGAAAGAAAATTCTTCTCAAGTGCAGTTTAAAAAGTAGATATCGTCTGCTCGAGGAAAGCCTCAAGCAATCTGAAGTTAGTATCAGCTGAGGCTAAGTTCAGGATTGACCAGTTACTGGTGTGTTTTAGCAAAGAAGACAGCTACTAGCATAAATCAAACCAGGAAGTTCATGTAGGGGATATTTCACCTAACTTTTGAAATATCCACATTGGCTGTCCATTTTCCTATGATTTAAATCATTCCTAGGTTTGGGCTGAATAGAGTTGACATTGTTGATGAGAACAAATACTTAGAATTTAGCTCCAGTTTCTTTTTTCTTTTTCTTTTTAATAAATCTTTATTGTTCATATTATTACAAAAGTTCCTCATTTTTTTCCCCTCCACCAGGTTCCCACCCCACCCTCTGCCCTTTCCCCAGCCCCCATTGTCCTAATCCATAGGTGCACAGTTTATGTTCAGTCTCTTCCCTCACCCCCCACTCCTCTTTTCCCCGAGAATCATCAGTTCGCTCCCCTTCCATACCTTTGATTCTATTATATTCACCAGTTAATATTATTCATCAGGTTTTTTAATTCCCTTGGTTTTTAGATTCACTTGTTGATAGTTACATATTTGTTGTTCATAATTTTTATCTTTATTTCTTCCTCTTCCTAAATAACCCCCTTCAGCAATTCGTTTGGTGGTGATGAATTCCTTTAGCTTTTTTTTATTTGTGAAGCTCTTTATCTGGCCTTCGATTCTGAGTGATAGCTTTGCTGGGTAGAGTAGTTTTGCCTGTAGGTTCTTGCTGTTCATCACCTTGAATATTTCTTGCCATTCCTGTCTGACGGTCGTATGTGTGCTCCTTTATAGGTAACTACCTGCTTTTCTCTTGCTGCTTTTAATATTCTCCCTTTGTCTTTTGCTCTTGGAATTTTAATTATGATGTGTCTTGGTGTGATCCTCTTTGGATTCCTTTTGTTTGGGGTTCTGTGCGCTTCCTGGACTTGTAAGTCTAATTCTTTCACCAGGTGGGGGAAGTTTTCTGTCACTATTTCTTTCAGTATATTTTCGATATC